TATATATACTTTTCTTTAATACATGATTTAATTCGAAGAATACAAAAAGTTCTTATTATTACTACTATTAACTCTATCCACCAACTACGCTTCTTTATTACTATTTATCATATAGTAACCATTCTACGAATTTTTGTTATTATGTATTTTGAATTTATTCCACCAATTCACCGAATTTCATGAATTTCATGAATTTCGTGAATTGGTGTGACGTCGGATCCGGGGTGTCGATCTCCCCTTCACAACAGACACAAATTACATTTCTGATATGTTTTTGTTTACGAAGATGCATCAAAAAAGGCATTTTTTATGATCAAAATACATCAAAAACGTAATTTTTGTATCACTTGACGTAGACACTTAGAGTCCTCCGCTACGCTCCGGCCAATAACAAAAAAACATTAGTAATAGTAAGCATTCCTCTTGTTCCGATCGTTTGTGATATCTATATTCTCTTGATTTCGATTATATTAAGAGAAAAACATATGTATAAAACGCTTGAAATTTACTCTTATAAAAGGATAACTCAGGTTGGAGTTCAATGAATAAAAACTTGAAGTGTTAAGTAAAGTAAATAACCCATTGAACTTTAAATAATTTCTCTAATAATTAAACCCGTAGAAAGGCTATATTGCCGGACCAATTTAATTAGAGAGGGTTCATGTAGTAAAATTTTGGTTTTATTCATTTTTTAATTCTTCCTAAAAAAAAAATAATAACCCATATCAATGTACAGTAAATTTATCAATTTTTTTATTATTATTAGGAAAGGAAGATGTAGAGGTAATATTAAACACAGAATCAATGACTGTCTATTAAATTATCAAAATAAAATTATCAAAATTATAATATCATCTATAAAAACTACTATGGAATTAAAAATTATAATATATTCTAAAAAAACTACTATAGATTAATATAATTCTTGAGGTAAAAATTGCAGACTTGAGAGTTAAAGGACAATTTTATTATTTATTATTTTCCATAAGAAGTATTGATTAGGAGTATAAATTAATAGGTCGTTAAACGTCATGTCTGAAGTAATATCTTTAAAAGAAGATTGCATTATTTAATAAAAAATTATCTTATCAAATTCTTTTGGCACTTTAGTAGCGACAATAAATAAATTTTATTATTTAGTATTATATAACAGTATTAATTTTTAAACAATGTATTGTGCTGAATCTGCATATTTTGAAGATTAATGTGATTGTTTTTTAGAAGAGTTTGATGTGATATGTGTTGACACACTTAATTGTTCTAAAGCTGTAATTAATAAGTCACATTAATAATTAAATTAATACAAAAGAGATAATAAAAATGGAACATACGCCATCCTTTGGTTTCTTCGAATAAAATTTGTTCTTTATTATTTTCTCCATCGTTGATAATAATTTTTTTAGATAATTTGGTAGTTTTATCAACAACAAATATCTGTTTATGAGAATATAAATAAAGTAAGATGCTAAAAACTGCAAAGTTAAAAAATTAATTATAAAAATACGAACAGTTAAATTTTTACGAATATCAATGTCAAAAGTAATTTCAATTTGTGGCGATCCTCGAGGAGCTGGAGGGATATTGTTAAAAACAAATTTACCAAGAAAGTTGTTATCTTTTGTAAGGTCTTGTTCTCCTTCATATACTTTGATAAATAAACCAGGTTGGGAATTGTAACATGTAGAAATGATTTCAGTCTTTTTAATAGGAATTGTGGAATTTCTTTTTACAATTGGAATCATGATTCCGTTATCACTTTCAATACCAAGTGATAAAGAAATAACATCAAGTAATAATAAGTTTTGGTATTTTTCTTTTACGTCATCAAATATCATAGCAGCGTATACGGAAGCACCGAAAGCAATGGCTTCATCGGGATTAATAGATTTATTCAGTTTTTTGCCATTGAAAGAATCTGAAATAATTTTTTGAACCATAGGAATGCGAGTGGAACCACCAGCCAAAATAATCTCATGAACTTGAGTTTTATCTATATTGGCGTCTATAAATACTTTTTCAATTGGCTCGAGAATGGAATGAAATAAATCCTTATTTAACTCTTCAAATCGAGAACGAGTCAAAACAGTATAAAAGTCGATGTCATTAAAAAGGGAATCGACTTCAATATTTGCTTGGGTCGATACAGAAAGTGTACACTTTGCACGTTCACAGGCTGCTCGAAGGCGACTCATTGAACGAGCATTTGAAGTAAGATCCTTTTTAAATTTGAGTTTAAATTCTTTAACATAATGATCGACAATTCTATTATCAAAATCTTCGCCGCCAAGATAGGAGTTCCAAGCAACGGCCTTCACTTCAATAATACCCATTTCTAAGGTGATAAGAGATACGCTAAGATTGCCACTACCAAGATCAACAATCAACACATTATGGTCGTGTTCTAATTTATGAGACATCCAATAGGCGATTGCTGAAGCTGATGTGTCATTAATCGCAATTGTATTCAAGCCTGCCGCATAACCAGCATTTACAATGGCTCTATATTGTGCTAGATTATAGCAGGTTGGAATTGCAACAACGACTTTGTCAACTTGTGAACTAACAAATTGTTTCATCTTTATTAACATCATTAAATAGATTTCTTCTGGCGTAAAATATTTAGTGACTCCCATTTCGTTAATTTGAATATGAGGACTATCATTCTTATCAACGACTTTAAATGGCCAATGCTAACAAAGAGAAATTATTAATTATTTGAATTCAATGTCACGTAATGCATTTTCGAAATAATTCATACTTTTAAACTATTCTGAACTGCGGGTTCATGAAAATCATGACCAACGATCCTTTTAAAATTATAAATAGTATTGTAAGGGTTCCTTGAGATTTGACTTTTGGCTGAATCACCAATTAAACGTCCATGATCGGTGAATGCTATGTATGATGGCGTGATGCGATTGCCCCTATCATTTGTAATAATTTGAATATGTTCATCTTTCCAAGTACCCACACAAGAATATGATGTTCCTATATCAATACCAACACAAGAATATGTTGTTTCTAGATCATTATCAACACAAGAATCTGTTGTTTTTAGATCAAGATCAACATAAGAATCTGTTGTTTCTATATTAATATCAATTAATATTTTGAAACCACATTATTAATATGAATAGCTACAAATCATTGATATCGCTAAAAATTACTAATAGGACACACCAGACATGCTTTCCATCTCTAGTTCATTTAGACATTCAACAACTTTTTGAATATTTGGGCGTTTATTTGCATCATGATTCCAACATTCTAATAAATTAATTTATGTTAAAAAAATTAATTATTAAAATAAATTAAAAATTGTTACAAATAAATACCTTTATACATTGAGGAATACTCTAAAGGAGTTCCAATAATTTCGAGTTCTCTTTTTCCATTTACAATAGAGACTAAGCAATCATAACCAAACGGTAATTCTGATTTAAATGGAACGATACCACTAGAAATCTCCCAGAGAAGTACCCCGACACTATAAACATCAGAACTTTGGTTTAGTCTGTATGTTTTTAAATCTTGCAAATATAGAGGGTCAAAGTATTGAACAAAACAAAGTAAATTCTGATAATGATTTTGTTTTGTAAAACTTTGAGATGAAGAATCACTTATTTTAATGATTCCTTCGTAAATAAAGATATTTTCAGAATTCTATTAAAATTTCAACATTTGTAAAAAAAAATTTAACATAAATAAAATGAAAGTTTAATTCACGTAATATTTATTACCAAATTTCCATGTATTATATTGTTAACATGTAAATGTTCAATCCCGTCTGCAATCTGTCTGGCAAGACGAAATTTATCGCTCCATATCACTGTATTAAAATTTAGTTCTAAATGTTGACGAAGAGTTCCACTAAAGTATTCGAGAATTATCATATATGTGTTTGGATCTTATGTATAAAAGTTGCTAGAGTTAATGAATATTATTTTTTTTATTAGCATACAGTTATATCCATGTATTTACCTGGTTTGGTCAATCCATAAATTTTTAAAATATTATTATGAGATTTAATCTTTTGATGTCGATTAAGCTGTTTTAATAATAATGTCAACTATGTATTAAAAAAAATTTATAATCATTATTAAATTTATATTAAATCTTACTTCTTCAATGAATTTTTCTAAAGGAAATTGCTGAGATATAATGACAGGTTTTAAAATCGTAAATTTATTATATTCCTTAAACATTGCCTTATAAAACAATTCAGACTCTCCAATACTTGTGGATTCAAAATTTATGAAATTATTATCGTAATTATATACAGAATTCATTTCTTGGAATTTAAATAATTTTGATGTATTTTCCTGTTTGGGTAGCAAGTTAGAAATTACATTTAAGAATTAAAATGTATGTATTTAAATATATACTATATTTAAAGAATTCTGACGTATAGCTTTTAATAGGGAAATTTAATACCGGAGTTTAATGACCCGAAGTCACAAGATGGTACATGGATCTTTGCTAGGAAAATCACCCTTCGGTATTTTCCGAACGGGCCAATTCGGAAAGACTTATACCAGAATACCAGTTCTTATTTATATGTAAGTCGTCTTTTACCTTTAACGATGCAATAGTTTATTTAATAAACTATTGCATCAGCAAGGTAAAAGATGATTTGCATATAAATAAGAACTGGTGTTCTGGTCTAAGTCTTTCCGAATTAGCCCGTTCGGAAAATCCCGAAGGGTGATTTTCTTAGCAAAGATGCAAAAGTTTCATTTTTGATAGATCTGCGGTTACATTTTTGATGATTACGTTCTTGATGCACTTTTAGTAAAATATTTTTGAACTTTGAGCGAATATATCTCAATAACTACTTGACCAAATTCGAAGAATTTTTTTTTTTGGTTTAATTCTATGGATATATGGAATTCAAATAAAAAAAAATTCATCAATTTTGATCGGGCGGTTGTTGAGATATCTTCACTCAAATTTAGTAAACAAATTCAAAACGTCTTAAAATAAGTGCGCCAAATTTTTTCTAAAAGTTTGAGCGAAGATATCTCAATAACTACTCGACCAAATTCGATGAATTTTTTTCTGTTTTAATTCTACAAATATATTGAATTCAAATAAAAAAAATTTATAGATTTTGGTTAGGTGTTGTTGAGATATCTTAAAGTTAGTAAACAAATTCAAAAAATATCAATTCGTGCAAAATTTTTATAAAATTTTGAGCGAGAATATCTCAACAACCGCCTGATCAAAATCGATAAATTTTTTTTTATTTGAGTTCTATATATTTGTAGAATTAAAATAAATAAAAAAATCATCGAATTTGGTCGAGTAGTTATTGAGATATATTCGCTCAAAGTTTTAGAAAAAATTTGGCGCACTTATTTTAATAGACGTTATGAATTTGTTTACTAATTTTGAGTGAAGATATCTCAACAACCGCCCGATCAAAATTGATAAAATTTTTTTTATTTGAATTCCATTTATTCATAGAATTAAAAAAAAAATTCTTCGAATTTGGTCAAGGTTATTGAGATATATTTGCTCAAAGTTCAAAAATATTTTACTAAAACTGCATCAAGAACGTAATCAAATTTTGAGTAGCATCGTAGATCAGATCTATCAAATATGAAACTTTTGCAATAGTGAATGGCATAACTAGAGATGGGTATCATGCGCACGCATGATACCTGAAACATGCGCATGAATGCGCATTTATGCGCATTTTTGCCCATCAAGAATTTATATATGTTTTGGTTAAGTCGCGTAATTTAGGCCAGAGAGCATAATGCTGGGCGGAATTAAGTGATAGGAATTTCAAAAGTTCCGAAAAGAAAATGAATGAACCTCAAAGACAAGCAAGGTCGTGACCGAAATTCGAGAAACATGGCGATTTTTTCCGAAATGAAACAGAAAAAAGAGAATTTATATCATGCGGTATCAGCACATTTTTCTTATCACTAACTATATCCCATGTATGTTTAGCTCAAATTTTATTTAATCTTATCACTCAAGTTAAATAAAGCATAAAATTGGAGATATTTGCCTATATAAAAACAATAGAAAAATTACTATTGATCAAATTAATAAGTTTCTAACGTTGGTAATTTTATTAATTTATTGTTTTTTTTTTTATTAAGATTTACTCTTGTCCTAGTGATATATCATTATCTACAATCCTTACTAAATCATTATTATCTATGAATCTTACTGAATCATTATCATCATTTTTTAAGGCTTTCTTATTATTGTACACCACTATCTCTGAAAATTATAAAAGCTAAATATGTTTAAGAAAAAACTGGGTTACATGATTGTGAAGATCTCAATTTAGTTATGACTTTGTTATGACTTCACAAAATTATAGTAGGTTAAACTTGATTTGCCTCTTACAATAGATATATCAATTAGATAACAATTTAGCCAATTATGAAGATATTTTATTTTTAATATTTGATTCTTTATTAGATTATTTATATATCTATCTCTTAATCTATATATAAATCTAAAGCAAATTTGTCTTGAATTTTATTAAGTAATTTTTATATTATTGAAATTATAATTAAGGTTACATATCAATTAAAAAATTAATTGAAAACAAATATTAAATAAATTTATTTATTTTTTACTATAAAAATTTTTAAAACAATTAGGCCTTACTTTAGAGCAACAAAGCAGAACATTATATTTAATATACTAAAGCTGACTCTGAGAAATTGCACTAATTTTTTTTTTTTGCCTTTGTTATTATTTTTATTAAATAACAACAATATAAATATAATTCTTTTTTATCTCTCTACTCTGCTAGATAATTTTCTGAAGAAAAATAACTTAAAAAAAACTAAAATTTTTAGTAACATATGCAATTTGCTTATTTTTTAGTAGTAATTTTAATATAACTTTTTTTTGTTTTGAATAATTTCAAATTATTATTTTATTTTTACTATTCAATACCTCTTAAATTAAATTCCAAATAAGAGTAATTCTAAAGTTTTTGCTTGTAATATCTGTACTTGTAGTTTTACAATAAAGGATAATACTATTAATAAAAATAGTATTTAGTAACCAAAAATAATAAGAATTAAGTACAACATGCTGCTATTTGACAATTATAATAGTTTCAAAGTTGATCTATAAGATTAACATCTCTTATATAATTATTATAATTATCAATTACATATGAAATATATAATTCTTTTTATGATATATTACTAAATATTTGATAAACTTTACTTGTATTAGTACTTGTTTTATGAGAATATTATCATTTCTAAATAATTTTCTACTCATTATCTATAATTTTATAATAAGTTATGAGTATTGTTGGATGTTCTATATATACTTTTCGTTACTACATGACTCAATAATATACATAATAATAATCTTTACTAATGTTACTAATGGT